GAGATATCAGGCCTGACGAACAATGCAGTGCTACTGCTATTAGGAAATGGCACAGAACACAGACCTTTGCTGAACACAAAAAGGAGTTGCGTGCTTGTGCGTAATGCCTTTATTTGTTCTCATCCTCAAAATTCCCAAATTAACTCGGTTGGGAATTTAGCTTCTGACCCTTTCATCAGTGTATTTTTTAAAAGATAGGTAAAATGAATACAGTGTTGGCCTGGTATTCAGGTAGAAGTCCTTTTGCCCTTTTAACACCCACCACACAGGCAGTGACAAGGCAAGCTTCCTCTGTGCATAACCTGCTAGGGACCAGAAATGTTGTCCCATTTTCAGTCAGAAAATCTTGCTGTTCAGTTGGATCTTGGGCTGCATGCTGAGGAAGCTGTTGCAAGGGCCAGCTGTGACACCGCTTTCTAGAACGTTGAGAGATGGGCAGTAGGGCTGGCCTGAGAACAACGTAATCAAAAATGTGGTTGTGTCCAGCACAGATACCTGGAATTGTGTCAGCACCCATGTTCTGACTGTAACTTTTTGTTTGTTTCTATTAAGCCTTATTGTATATTAAAACTAGCAACTGGTAGAGGAATTGTTTAGTCTAGAAGCAAACTGTCAATGGCTGACGCTGATAATATTTGTCCCGTCACTGTATTAGTATAATGGGATGGAGCCATGCCTCTTAATACACCAGCTCAGTTTGTTCTCTGAAGTCAGGTGGATCAGCAGTGAAAGAATTGCTCTCCAAAGAAATTAAGGTGCTGGAAGAGACGACACTAGCTACCTGTACACCACCCACCAGCCCCAGGTGACCTGGTATGAATGAGGGTGGTCTCCCTCAGGGTGATCTTGTTACTATGAGCAGAGCCACTCAGGCAAAGCATCGCAGGTGAAATGCTGCCTGCTCAGTACAGCACAGCATTTTCCTAACTTTACTCTGCTTAGGGACATGGTTTTGCTCAAAGCCTGGGAGTTAAGAAGCCCGGTTAACCTGAACCGTGATGTTAGCACTCAGGCGCAGGCTGACAGTGAGGAACACGTGAAATAATTCAATCCCGAGTTAGTCTCTATCACCTGCTTTTTTATGTGCCCACAGCACAACACACACAGTCTTGCACTCCCTGTCCAATACAGCTTAGCGAGAATCACTTATAACCGTGTCCTTTTTTTTAATTCAAGCATCTTTGGTAATGCAGCTTTCCCATTCACATCAATTCTCAGGGGCGCACAGTGTCTGGCACACCGGTGCATGTGTACGCGTGGATGCTGGCATGTGAGCATGTGTGTGCGTGTGTGCTCTCAGACATGCTTCGATGCAGCTGCAGAATTAGAGCAAAAAATGTTGATGGTACAAAGCGTTCCAGCTGACTTCATTTCCTGCTGATAACTCCCTGAAGGGGAGGGTGAGCCTTAGCATCCACAGCATTAGTTTAATGCTGAGGGGCAAGGGCAGGGTTGGTGGGAGCAGATACTTCAGAACACAGCAGAATGGTGTGTTCAAAAAGCAAGTTTCCCATAGAAAATGCTGTTCACGTTTGCTTCCTGTCAGCTTGCTGTTGTCAGAGGAGCTGGTGTGCAAACCAGACCAAAACAGGATGTTGGCTTTTAGAGTTGATTGATCTTTGAAATGCAAATGCTTTTTTTCTGTGGTTACCTTATCCCCATTTTTTTCAGTTGAGAATTGAGTTGCTTGAGTGGGAACAGGAAGGGTTGAGACCCCATTTTCAGGGGTTCAAAAGCCCAACATGGTAACAGCTGCTGGTTCATAGTATGAATTCTGGAAAATTATGTGGATAGCAGCAGCCAAAGCCAGCCAGAGAGGCAGACAGAACAATCTCAGATACTGGCACTGACAGGTGAGCTCTACTAAACCCTCAACAAATGTCTTAACAAAGTACAGAGATTCAATCTGTCTTGCAGGGACCCACAGCTCCCTCCAGCTTTTGCTCATCCACCACCCTGACAAACATACCTTCCCAATTTCAGCAGCTACACAGACACACCCGAATGAGATGGCTGTGTGGACACAAATATCAGAGTGAAAGTTTCAGAAGACCTCAAAAGCTTTCTTTCCTGAGAGGTCTCTGAACAAAAAATTGCAAAGTCCCTGCATCTCCTTTCTTGGATCTACCACCCTGTGGAGGCCCCATTGTCCATATTTCAAGCCAAAATGCAAGAGGCCAGCAAATATTACACATGGTGTTTCTGAGCAGGGCAGAACTAGTTATGCTACCTCTTTTGCAGGCATGCCAGGATGAAGGATTTCCTTGCACCTCTCCCCCACGTGCTGCCTTGTAGCAGGAGTACCAGTCATTTGTCCTGAAGCAAACTTGCTGGTTTGGCCTCACATATCTTGAAAAGAATCAGCTGGGAAGCTGCAAAACCCAGGGGTCCACAACTGCAACATTTTCTTATTCAAATGAAATTTCCCCCTGGCGTCTGTTTTAATGGCACTTGTGATGACTGCATTTTTTCTTCCTGAGCAGAACAGATGTAGAAACTTTTTTTTGTATATACGAACAAGTTAGTCTCATAGACACTGCTATATCCCAGAAGGTCTGTAAACAGAGATACACACAGAGATGCAGAGAGTCATACTCTAAAATATCTCACGTTCATACTTGCACATACACATCATGTAAAACACCCAGTTCCTCAGTATAACCTCCCTTAATAACATTTGTTACAAGGTTCTTGCAGTTAAAGCATGTGGGTTGTTTGTTTCAGATTTTCTAGTGTTTTTCAGTCCAGAAACAAGAAAGTCTAGAGCAAATCCACACCTCATGTCATCCTGTCTGGAGAAAAATATACACCGTATTTCTGTGTGTTGTCTCCTTGCTCCTTCAGGAAGAAAGATTTAGCATTAATAAACTGAGTACTGTGTACCATGCTCAGAGCAATGGCATTTGGGAATCCTGCTGGCAGAAAAGATTTGCCTTGTGGCAAGATACTTGGGAGCAGAAATAAATAGAGTGAAGAATTGTGGTGGGGCAGCTGCAACTACCTTTGCTTTATTAGTACGGGTAAAGTGATACTGTCTGTGCCTAGCAGTTTCCTTTTCTGTAGGCCTAAGCAAACAGTTTCCTCCACAGTGTACAACCCCTGCAAGCAGAAAGAAAATACTGAAATAGACCCTGAGCGGCATGAAGCAACCACTGGAGGTATGTGATTTTGACGGTCTGTTACGTGGCAGACATCTTGAAAATGACACTTGTGACCAATGCCCACAGTGAATTCCCTGAGCATGAAATCCTCCTTCTGTCCCGACAGCAGGCAAAGCATGGGCAGCTGAAGCATCCTGTCCTCCCTGCCTCACCCTGCTTCTCAGTTCAGTTCCTATCCCCTCTGCTAGGGTACCGTTGTCAGGATTTTAAGAATTCAATAGGATTTCCAAATCAAGAAGGAATTTCATTTTTGTATTTCTTTTCAATTTTTAATCTATTTGCTTGTATCTATAGTTGCAGCATCATCTGGTTGCTTACAGCAGAGGGGTTTCAATTAATCCAGTGTTTCAGCAACAGAAGATTCATTAGTCCTCTTGCCCAATCTCCAGATTGCAGCAACTCAGCCTATCATTATTTTGGCTAAGGACCGAGTAACCATTGTATATTGAATTTGGGAGATCATGAGATCATGATTTAAATCTGCTAATTCCACAGGAGTCCTAAAGCATGCAGTTAACTATACTGTAAGAACAACTACGTTGAGATGATTTATCAGTAACAATAATCTGGGATATCCTGATGGTCACATTTAAATCCATTCTGGAGTGTTTTCTGCCATAGCCAGCAGGGACTTGTGGAACACTGCAAAGGAAAAGTATGCATCCCTTTCAGAAAAGATGCTTTAACCCTCTTCTGCCCCTGAGGTATCACCCCAAAATGACGACATGTCATTGTGTCACTTTGCAGCTGCATGCAAGGCAAGGAAGCCAGCAAATTCCTCTGCACCACCCTGCTCTCAAGAGGTGGGGACTGAAATTCTTGAGAAGGACCATATGCAAACAGTTGCTAAAAGAGATGACTAGTTTACAACACTGCAATCTAAAAGGAAAGGGAAAGGGAAAACATAGCAAAACATTCCTGAGGCTTATTTTTTCCGATCTGAGTTTTTCTACCACCACGGAAGCTTCTCACTTCCAGTGCACAATTCTGCCCTTCCCTGTGAAAGGAGAGAAGAACATCCTACACCTTCTGACCTGGTGATGTGAGGCAGGAATTCAGGGTGGAAGGAGCTAGTCCTGCTTTACAGCTAGCTAGTGACACCTTGCATGGGGACCCTCTGCTTATGCCCACATTTGTACAGCACCCTTCAGAGTGGAGCCCTGATCTCTTGTTGGGGAATCACCCAGCAGCACAGTAGTGCTGCTAGTATTATTGTCACCCCTGGGAGTCCCAGCCATGCACCAGGACACCAAAGCCTTAAATTCTGTTCAAACGCAATAATCACCCTCGCTCTGCTCCTCTTCTGCCTCTCTAACCCCTCTAAAGACAGTCCACTGCTGATTGAAATTACCTAGAATTGTGAAGGAAGAGAGAAGGGAAGTTGCAGTTAGAGGAAAAAAGATCCTCCTCACAAATAAACAACAAGAAAGAGACCCTGCAGAGTTGGAGAGGGAAGTGTGGACAGTGGAGAGATCCAGGCAGAGACACTGGGGGAGCAAATGCAAGCAATGGAGAGAAAGAGGCAAAACGGGGCAGGCGTATGTGGTGGAAATAAAGATAAGGTGGTAGAAAATATGAAGGGGAGAAGGAAAGGAAGGGAGAAAATGCACATGTAGCGTCCCCAAGTTTGGGTGCAGCAGCAGAGTTTGCTGCTTGTTGTCTCCTGAGCCCAGCACTCTGGGAAGGACAGTATCTGTTTAGATTTGCGTCTAAATTTAAACCCTGATTGCCTTGCCTCCCCCTCCTCTCCCCTCCCTCCCTTCCTCTCACCCACCCGCCCTTCTTCCTTGTTCGTCGTGCAGGGCCACTCGCTGGGCTCTGTCAGTTTTCAAGCTGAGCAGCAGCTTGGATATTACATACCCTCCACAGCAGCGCGATTTTGCTCTAGCTCGGCTGAAGTTTTCCCACAGATAAGAGGGAAAGGGGTGGGGAAGAAAGATTGCCCCGAGGACACCTCTCTCTTGCAGGACATGGAGGTAAAGAAAACTTTTATTTCCACTAGCTTGTGACTGGCTCTTCGATCTGCATTAGCTCCACCTTGCAAAGCAATTTCTCACTAAAGGCAGCTCAAAATATCTCTTCGCTGAGGTTCAGATAAATGTCGTTTCCCCCCCTGCCCCTGCCCCTGCCATGCACCTCAGAATATTTTGTGGATTTTAGTCCAGATTTGGAAAGTAAGGGGATCATATGGGGAGAAATTACATCTGTAAAAGGGGAACGAGGAAAGACTGCCATTTATTTTTTAGTCTCTGGGGTGGGAAAGAGAGTTACATTTTAAAAGGTATCATTTTGAAAGGCGATTTAAAAAATTCAGTAAAAATGGGGACATAAGGAGAAATGAACAAACCATACAGGATTAGCGGGCTCCTTGGGGTTGATTCCTACCCAACCCATGCAGCAGCAGCTGTGATTTGGACCCTAAGCAGTGTGTTCCCCCTGTTCCACGTGGATTGGGTGATCTCACTTTCATTATCAATAGAGCATTTTGGTTCACAAAGATGGCCCAAGAACCGTTGCTTTGGCAAGGTAAATGAGCAGCACACCCCTGGAGGGTTTCCTGTGCCTTTTTCTCCATTCTGCTTGTCCCATGCTTCAGGAGAGCCGGAGGTCTTGTCTCTGGGTGGTCACAGGGCTGGTGGACAGGAGTCAGGCTTCCCTGGTGTTTAAGTCCAAGCCTTCGCCTGCGTAGTACCCTCTTGGGCAAGGCAGTTCAGTTCACCTCCCCTTGCCTCTTTTCCCATTCATACGAAACGAGAGTGATGGTGCTTGCTTCGCTCGTGTCAGACTGGATTCACTAGCTTTTCAAACAATTTTTTAAGCGGCAAAGGAAAAAAAGTATTTTTAGGAGGGCCACGGGAGATAGAGAGGCGATTACAACATTGGCAAAACCTCAAATTACGAAAGAGGACTTTTGTTATTTCTCTCAGCTAAACACAGATCTTACTAAACACTTTATATTATCTTCCCAGAGAAGCCTTCTTCTGCATCTGTGCAGCCCCAGCAGCAGGGGACATGCGACAAAGGCAGGGAACAGTGTGCTTGAGGCACCACTACAATTTTTCTTTGAAGATTTCCAGTGCCTAGCTCAGCTGGGCAGTTCTGATAATGCCCAGGTGCTAACATTGCAGTCCTTGTTACCTGTGCTGGGCTGCCCCCCAGGCAAGGGTTAAAGATCAGGCATGTTCATTACAAGAAAAGTCTTCAACAAACTATCTAAACAGATTTTGTTGTGGAGAAGGACCAAGGAGTGATCAAACCAACTCAGCACAGACTACATGTGGCATGACAAACATATAGCTTTGTAAGGAGTTTTTGGTTTGACAGAGCCTGGATCAGTAACTGTTAACACTTCTTTTATTCTTTTTTGCTATATAGTATCCTGTGATGTCTCAGAGGGGAAGGGGAGTTGAGCTCTTAATTTGTTATAACTGCTGTGCACAGTAAGCTACATATGGAGCAAGGACTAACTTAGGGCTCAAGCAGGTATTTTGTCATGTGGAAGACTCTCTGCTCTCTCCTCTCTACACACACAGGACTGCACCCCTCAAGTATTTTCTGTCGTCTGCTGCAGCAGTGTTTCAGAGTAGAAAGAGACAAACCTGCCATTTCCTTTTTGGGAGACACGTGTTACACATACGGCAGGTCTGACGGCCAGGAAGCTAAAAGTTTCCTGCTCTTGATTCTGTCCGTTTACCTCCGCTTCCCACTCTTTCCCCATGTTACCTTGTTTTCTGATAATCTGTAGATTGCTGCATCCATTCTTATTTTTAAAACACCTCAACTCCCAAGACATATTTTAAGTAGCGCACTTGGTCTTCCCTTCCTGCCCTAGCCCTCCAAAAAGGTGGTTAATGTCCCAAAGGTAAGAAGATATTAGACCAAAATAGAGCCAAGAGCAAGAACTTGAGTTCCCACCTGCCAATTCTCTGCTCTGTTTCTTCCTGAGAGCTTTTCACAGGCAGTGTGAGCAGGACCCAGAGACTCGCTACAGCTTTTGCTTTAAAAACAGATTTAATGGTCCTGTGCAACAGGAACGAGAAGTTCTGTCATTTCCCTGTTTGCTTCATCAGTGGCGGGCAGAGCTGCTCCGTGCTTTCCTGCTGGCATAACTGGCAAGCTCTTTGCTCTAGTGGCACACATGAGGATTACCAGCATTAGGGAAAAAAGGGCAGAGGGCTGACCTAGCCAGCTGATTTCCATCACAACTCTGGCAGGAAGACCCTATTTTTGAAAAATCCACAGAAGCAAGATAGTTAAGATCACTTTCTTAGAGTGGTTATGTCGTTTTGCTGCTCCTCAGGGGCTAGTACCTACAGTCTTAGCCATTCTGTCATCAGGAACGTGCCACATTGAAAGCAGTAACCATTTAAGATCCCAAAGAGGGAGAAAAAGGCAGCAAAACCCTGTTCTTGCAGTTCCTGTAATTTTGTGAGTCTGCTGATCTTCAGGGTTTTTTTGTGAAGACCCAGCTTTCAGAATCAGTTTTCTTTCCAGTGTTATGACTGATGAAAGGAACTTGAAATCATGAAGCTTGTATCACAGACTGTTACATGAGGAGTTCATATAAAAAATGGGTAAAGCTGGCACTGATGAAAGCTGAGCCACTTGTAAAAAAGCAGCCACTAAACATTCTTCGCACTCATGGTACAAAAAGGATTGGAAATTATTGTGTTGGTTTGTTAGTTTACATCTTCAGATTTGGTCCAAGCTGTCTAATTCCCATAGCTGTACCATACCTTGCTGCAGATGTTGTGAGTTAAGGCATCCACTGAAAGTGCTTGTAGCTTTCTGTAGCCCGTATTCAACAGCAGTCATGGCATTCCTCTTCCCAGCCTCTCTGTAGGAGCTTGGGAGCATGGAGACATTTGAACTTTACTCGCATAGCAAAGGGAAGAAGTCCAAGGCTGAGTTTCACTTTGGTGGCTCCCTATGGCGCGATGGATTCCCTAAGCAGCAAAGGTGCAGTAACCAGGATTATTTTGGGAAGGCTCCCCTCTCCTTTGTGCCTACCAACAGATTTAATTTCTTTCTGTGGCATCTCCATTCCCATGTCTCTTTTCTGCAACTTGCTCCTGCTAGATCTTCATTTTTCCTGTCACTACACCAGCTCAGGGGAGAGAAAGCTTTTCCAGTGCTAAGAGTAGTTCTCTGCTCACTTCACCACTTCCCTTCTGGGCAACCTACTGGACACAGCTCCAGCCCCAGGCCCTGTGCTCTCCCTACACCCCAATGTCCTCATCTGGGACATCTCGGGAGGGATGGGACCACTCTTGCTCTTTTCAGTAAAGCTCCCTGCTCTGTCAGGTGAGGATACCACCAAGAGGCCCTGGGTCCTGCCCCACTCCTCTAGTGATCAGCAGAGCAGCGTGGAAAAAATTCCTCCAAGTCCTCTGTTCCCTGTCTCAGCAGGAGGCTGCAGAAACCTCCTGGGGTTCAAACACATCCCCTCCTTCAACAGGCGAGGTCAGAAACCATGTCTTCCTTTGTGCTGTGGTCAGCCAGACATCACGACTGAGCACAATTCTGGGTCCAGTATCCCAATTGCTGCATCCTTCCAGGAGCCATGGGGAATGATGCCCTCGCCCAGACTACAGGGCAGCTTTCTTTTAGCATAGGCACTTACCCTGTCCCTAGGAAAACTGCAGTAAGGATATGTGAACTGTTGCCCAAGAGGACTGAAGCGGAGGGGATGGAGGAAAGGGTACTTGGTACTGTAAAGGCAAGGGGGCTGAAGTCTGTAACCATTATGGTCCTCAGAGCAGCAGGACAGTAAGCCACACAGAGGTGAGCTGGGCAGAGTGAGGTCTCTGCCCACCCTTGCAGCTGTGGAGCCAAGATTAGGTACAGGCTTTACGCCATGGTTAGCTCTGCCAGGAAACAATTTCCCTTTCTCAGGAAGCTCTGTTGCTTGGCTTTTGTTCCAAAAGTTAAAACATTCCTTTTCCACTCTTCTTTTTTCTTTTTGCTTAACAGAACATTTTAACCTCAAATACACTTGTTTTCGGTGTTTCCTCCCAAAGTCATCAAAATGACACATTCATGCAGAGTGTCTGTGTAGATAAAGGGAATAGTATTTAAATAGACTAGGAGAGGTACCGTATGACCCTATTTTACTCCTCGGGTCTGGGCAGATTTAGGATCTGCCTGACAGTAAATAGCATGTCTGCAGCAGAGGATCCTGGAAGGGATCAGGTTTGCCAGACTTCCACATCCCAGTGACTGGATAAGGCCTCCCACTTGAAAGACAGAAAGGAACAAAAACAAACCCCATGGGCTGTGCTGTGATGCTTTCTTGTACCTAGTGGAGACCCCAGAGTAAATGGTTTGCAGAATTAAAGCTTTTCCTGTGTCAGTGGAGAGGGATGATTCTTCTGAACCCCTCTTCTCCCTCACTCCCCATTTTAAACTTTGGTTGTCTGAGTATCCCAGATCATGGTGATAGCATTTTGGAAAAGCCTTCTTTCCTGTAATCCACACTCCAACTGGCAGGACGCACTACTGTTGAGCAACATATTATGCATACCTTCTCATACATTCCCAGGATCTGCTTATCTGAAGAACAGGGGAAATCATCAGCATTGCTTTATCAATTGGTGCTGCTAGGAAACTGCTGGTTTTCGTCATGGAAATGACCAAGCCCATAAAAACTAGGGGTGGTTTTCCTGTCTGTTTCCACGTGGTTGGTTAACAGTTGTAGAGAGGCAGATGCTCCTTTTTCTAAAACACCAACTCTACAGCCTGAATTTGGGATCTGAGATGGCAGCTGTACCCAGCAGCAAGAGTACCTGTTTGGAGGACCTGTCTATTTTACTGGTGAAGCCTGCTACCTGTAGGTGGTATAATACCACAGAGACTCAGCTGTCTTGCTGACTTACAGACAATTACATGGCTTTCGCAGTTTGCAACACGGCATGCGTAAGAATGAACTTGGTCTAGAGACGGGAGATCTGTTGTGTAAGGAGAAGTTATTATTACA